CTTTGGCAAAAGTCATCTATTTTCGATGCAGCTTTGTGGTAATTACAATAATAAAAGGGTAAAATGTAGGACATCTAATCTCAATTACAAGAAAAATAGTCATTTTCTCTTTCTTTTAAAGGAAATAAAAAATTATGCAATATATTGATTCCACAACGAAGACAAATCAAGTCAGTCGATCAAAGAATCGAGTCTTTAGGTCAAATGGTTCGACTCTAAGCCTTAAGTGCTTGGGTGAGATGGTCGGAGTTTTGAACTCTACTCTCCTCGTGAACTCCCTCAAAAAGCGACTTGATAGCCGCGCACCTCATTTGAGGAGGTGAAATGTTCACCCGATCTAGGATCAAATCCTCAGTTATTAACAACTAATTCATACTAACTTCTTAATCATTACCTTTATCAAAAAAAGAGTCAATCGATCAAGAACAGAGTCTTCAATCTCTTAGCCAATATTGCAAACAGAAAGAACTCCAAAATTTCTCTAGGAGTCTATCATAACCTTCACAATTGCTGCAGCCACAATCGATATATGGCGCACCTCCTTGTTCAACTCGTTTATCGGCGATTTTCTCTTACTTGGGAACCCTTTCTCACAAGCACTTGCCTCAAGAGCTGCATCATTCGTTCCTTTCTGTGCGAACTTGTAGTTCCCTCTGTCCAATCCGGCAATGGTTTGTGGGATGTCTCCTGTTAGGATCACATTGTAACGTTCGGCACATAAAGCCAAGGCTTGTTGTGTTGCAGGGTCAAGGGTGAGGGTGTCCTCGAGAAGGTCATTGATCTGATCAAGGGTGTCAGATGCCTTGGAGTCAAGGGATGTGACCATGATCCGAGCAAGCCCGGCGATGTCTGCGTCAGCACTTTTGGGGTTGGAGAGGAGGATGGAGGTGCATAGTTCATAGAAGGGTGTCTGCTTGCATGTTTGGTCGATGAGATTGGAGAGTTGGATGATGGGTGCGGGGCGAATGCCACGGAGTGGGAAGATGAAGAAGAGGATGAGCAAGAAGATGTTCATATTTTAAGAATCCTGAGTGAAGGATGAGTTTTGGTCTTTGAATGAAGAACTTAGATGGGTAGATTTCGTCGTGATTTACAGGGCTGCTTTTATAGTGATTTTAGGGAATTGTTTTGGCTTCTGACCAATTCATCCTTCTGAAATGCTCTCAAAAGGGGGTTTGCCCTTGAAGGCCGCCTTGGGCAATGCCTGTTACCCATAAACATAGTTGAATGTGTAACTGCAAGATTTCATTTTTCCCTTTTAAAGAAGAAAATTACACTTTAACATATTACAACAGTATTTGTCTTATTCGATTCAAATCAAATTTGGGTTTACTGAAAAATCTATGCTAAACCACATTATTGTACAAGAAGTATTTGCTTCTTTGAAAGTTGTTAAAAACATGAGTCAGAACAGAAATATTTAGCCACCACTTATGGGAGGTATGATGGCCAACTCATCTCTGTCTTTGACAATGGCAGACTCAGTAGTGTATTCCTCATTCAGAGCAAGAACTATGCACCCGCAGATCTCTTCCAAGCTAGGAAACTTAACAACAAGCTTGTTCAGGCAATCTTGAGTGGTACTACCGGAAGAAACATCCAATGGCAACTCAGTCAATCCTGTTATATCGCGCGCTCTGGCAAAGAACAGGACTTTTATCTGAACAGATGAACCCTCATCAACTAAGGGTGAATCAACTGAGTTATCGTTCTTGATTTGTGTTTCCATTGTATTCACAAAAGACAGTGGATTAACAGAAGCTGAACGTGTCTGCATTGGAACACAGTCATGAAACATGAAATTGGGGGCTTAAAAAAAAAAATGTAAACCTGACACTGTCATGTCATGCAATTAAATTAGACTAGTTTCCAATCAACAATTTCCATCATAAAAACAGATAGAACAAGAAAACAAGCATAAATACCTAAATTCAATAACTAGCCATATTATCCCACAACCAAGTACTCCACTTGTAGTACTGTTAATATGCACTTACCTAGTTAGCAGGATGCAAACCAGAAGAGCTATTGCTCGTATACTCTGCATAAAATTTCCAATGATCAAACAAAATGGCCACTCTAGATGTATGATCAACCTTAGAAGAACCAATTTCAATAAAAAGAACAATTAAAATTAGGTCTGGTATGAAAAAGGTCATGTTCCTTTCCTTTTTTATTGATTTTTCAAAATTCCAGTAGCATGAACTGATCATGAGAGAAACTTGGCTAATAGTCTGATACTAAGAAGAATTTTGAACACTTAGGCCATGTTTGGTTGGTGGTAATTGCTATCCCTTAGTCAAACTATAAAAACAAGCTAAATTTAAGAAACTTTCTTAGGAATAATTTTCTACAA